CTGAGCTTCTGCTCCAACACTGCTCACACAGTTCTTAATAACCGTCCCAGAGCTCATTTCTAGACCAGATCATTTTATAAATGCAAGTGCACCACAACATGCCATTGCAGGTGTCTCAGTTACTCTGAAAAAATGTCCACCATGAGAGAAACAAGTGTAGCTCAACATCTAAATAGCCCAGACAAGCAGTAACAGCCAGAAAAATGCATAAAATTCCACTTGTAACAGCTGCCAAAAAATAAAATAAATAAAAGCAGGCTTACTTCACCCATTAAATCCATCAACCCCTGGGAGACCCAATAAAAAATCTACACTCAACACCCCAAGGGTCCCACTCCCCAGGATGCTATGCACTGTGGCCAGAGCTGCCCTACCCAGAGAATATGCAGATGTGTCTCCTCTTCCTCCCTCTGTGGGAACTGAGCCTCTTCACCACTAATTTTCCTCTTTTCCCTCCCTGTACTCTGGCCAAACGTCCTGCAGGCTGCATCTTCTCCACACACTTCATCAGAGGGGAGGTGGCCGTGGCTGTGCCACCGCTCCCGCGGCGCTCGCATGCAGACCCGCGAGCTGAGGTGTCAGAGCTGGCGGGGAGCAGGGCTGGCAGCCTGCTCTGCTCTGCTTGGCTCGCAGGAGAGACAAGCTCCATGGGCTTGGAGCCCTTTGACAGGAATCCTACAGGCTGCAGCCCCCCAGGAGACAGGAGCGTTACAAGTACCTGGGAAATGAGACCCGTGAGTGGGATGGGTGTAGGACTCGCTGTGAAAGTAATTTTCCACAGCTCTGGGACATTTTGGGGTAGGATAACCTTTAATGGGCTGATGCTGACACACGAGGTGCCAGACACCCTTGCACCCAGGCGTCCTTCGCTATTCAAGGACAGTGTGACACGTCCAGCTCGAGGTGACAGCGCTGCCAGCTGGACTTCCTCAAGCCTGTGCCATGTAGAGGTGTCCAGCTCCTGGAGAATACCTTCTCCTTGTGCACACCAACTGCCCTGCTCATCCAGATAGGCACTACAGGACACAGGGAAATGGTTATGAGCCTGGCCCTTGATGTTTTCATTATGCTCTATATAAGAGTGGTGGATTCCTGGTTGCTATCATGTTTTCATTAGGTACCTAGAGATAAACACATAAATCAAAGCAATGTTTCCCATGGTACGGGCAAATCAAACCAGCAATTATTTTCCCGTTTCATTTGAAACCACTGAACTCCTGTTTTATCTCCAGATAATGATGAATGTGGTTCTGACACCAGAGATCCACATGCTCCTGCTCTATTTCTTCACCACGGAGCACAAATAAGTTACTTGTTAATATATGAACTGTCATGTAAGAAGCCACAATTATGCATGATTCACCCCTACAAGCTATGTAAATCTGTAGTGTGTATATATGATAACAAATGAGTGTTACTTGATGGGAAAACACAGGTGCCAAGAGCTAGGACTCTCTGTGCTGCAGATGTCAGATATGGCATCGGTGTTAACACCTCCACTAACCCTCACCTTCAGGTAGACTCATTTCCAAAGGCTTATCAAGCATCCTCTATCACTCCAGCCTGTCAAAGCTCTGGCAGCCAGCCAGAGCAGATCCCAGCGTTGTTTGGTGGGGAGTTGGGAGAGCAGAAACAGCACGTGCCTCCTTCCAGAGCCCAAATATTCCACCACATCCAGCCTCACTGCTCCCAGTGTTCTATGGCCAAAATTTTGCCCCACGCCTGTTGCTGCCATAGCATTAAATGGTGACAACCACAAAGGATTTGCACCCCATGCCTGTGGAGCAGCAGGTCCATGAGCCTTGCTGGGGACAGCCAGGGCAGGGAAGGTTGGAAACAGAGCCCATAAAGAGATAAACACAGAGCCCATAAATACACTGCCCAATGGAGCTCTGACTAAAATTTTGAGGTGCTTCTTCCCCCGTGGAGGGTATCTGTGTGGGTGCCAGGTGAAGACACATGGGAGGAATGATTATTTTTTCTTTAACAGTTCTTCCAGCATACATATCAGTCATTATAGCTCTTAGTGCTTTCCTCTATGCTTGTTCATTTTCAAAAGAAATTATCATCAAATTAGTCTTGACCACTGATTCTGTCTTTGGATAAGGAAATGGAGGGGTGAAAGTCTCCTCTGTCCCCTTCCACTTCAACCAGTCCTCAAGTTCCAGCCAAGTCCTCAAGCACATTTTCAGCATCACCCTGCAGCCCTGGGAGAAGTTAACAGGTTAATTCCTTGAGCAGGTCCCTTCCCACATGTGCTTTTGCTCTCATGATGCCCCTCAAAAGCCACACAGGTGAGTCTGAGTAATGGACAGAGCAAGAATATGAAATTATGTGTATAATTCCAGAGAATAAATATACAAACCCACCAATTTCAGGACACATCCTGACCACTTCAAAGTGAAATTAAAGGTTACAGTGGTGGAGAGCTTCATATCAGCACAATTTTTCACATTTCAAATCCTTGATGAAGCAACTATTAAGAAAGATTGTTTTGTACTATTTGTCTCTGATTTATTAAAGTTATAAATTACAGAGTAGACTACCCTGTAATCAAATGCTTGTGAACCTTGGAAGACCTTGAAAATTAGCAAGTTGGTAGGTAACAGATGCAGTTTCTTTCTTTAGATAAAAAACCTGAGGAGTCAAGGAGTCAGAGTGAAAACAGCCACTTGTGCTCACAGGTTTAGCATGCTTCATTCTGTTAGCTGTGGTATGGGATAAAGCCTTTAGTGTTTTCTTAGCCCCCAGTGGACAGCAGCACACAAATCCAAGCCCCACACACAACTGGAATCATCTGTGTGTATGGGGAACAAAGGGCTCCACTGAATCACCATCCACACATGTCAGCAGGACCAGCAGAGTGACACCAGAACAGGGGAGATGCTCTGATACCTTCCCTTGATTCTCACCCACACAATACAAAAAAGAACATTTTTCCTGCTCCTTGCTACAATGCTTCATGCTGTGAGAGCTAAAAAGGAAATTAAAAAGGAAAAAAAAAAAATCACTGGTTTCTTTCCTTTGAAAAAGGAATAAAATTGTTCTAATTGGTGATCCCTGAGGGGGAAGAAACCAGTGGGCAGCAGGAGTGAGGCACTGATTAGGATGAGAGTGCAAAGACATAGTGAGGAACTGGGTGTAATTATGCCAGACACTTTGTGTTCACTGCAAGGTGCTACTCACAGGAATTCTCATCTTCTGAAAATTTTGTCTGAAAATGAGTGAGAGTACATCCAGGTGATACCCTGACAGGTCTGGTACCTCTCAGGAGTTCCTGTATTGTCAATCACTGTGGCATGCAGACACCATAACTTGTCTTAACTCAGCTTGATCTTCTTTTTCTCCCTCCCTCTCACCCTGCATGACCAGGTGTGCAGGGCTGCTAAAGCAGCTCTCCCTCTGACAGCTCCTGGTGCACTTCCTTGGCACTTGATTTACAGATGAAAGATGAATACATATGGCCACGTTCACCAAAAGGAAGAGCAGATCTTTTGCCTTTTTTTGCAGGGAATCTCTTGTCAATCACACTCCGCTCTTGTTCATGTCCCTGAGGTGCAGTTTTGATGCAGGGAAACACAATGTACTTTGCTCCACACCCTGGGGAACAGCTTGTGCATCAGCTATCTCTGTATCTCTGCACAGAGTGCCTCCACTTACAGTTTGAGAGTTGTTCACAAGTTCTTGAAGATGTTTCTCCCTGCAGTACATTATTAACAGTTATTAACTGTTCTCCCTGCAGTACATTATTACAGTTAATAGTTATCAACAGCATCTTAGATTTACAGATTTGCAACTAAGGCTCAAAAAATGAATGGCGTTTCAAGAGTCTCCAGATTTCTACACTGCATTTTTTGGTTTACTTTTGAAAACACTGCAGATCCAAGTCTCAGTGACCTGCCGGAGGTCACGCTACAAGTCAGAGGAAGAACCAAGACCCAATTAGCAAATTCTGAAAAATTTGGAGGAGTGGACAGTCAGTCTTTCCATAATACGTACATGAGATATCCAACTAAATAGGCTGAGGAACCCCCAACTCTCCAGACTGCAAAAAACAGAGCAGCAAGGGCCAGGTAAACCCTTTCCAAAGGGGTGTCAGAGAGTCCCTCCCATGATTAACACGTGTGGTGTATTTTTGTTCTTCCACAGAATGTTCCCTAAATAATATCTGGCTTTTCCAGTGGTTTTGGATGACTTTAGAGCTCTTTTCCAATCTTAAGATTTCTGTGATCTCCAGAAGATGAGCAGCTATCAGAAATACAGAGAGCAATCAAACCAAGTGGACCAGACAACATGAGACCTGAAGGAGGTCCAAGGTCCTGATCTTCTTTCTAAGTTGATGAAGATGTTTTTCTATGTATTTATCATGGCAGGGTGGGAGTATGGTAGAAAACTTCCTGGGGTTAATGCTTCTTCCTTGCCTGTTTTTCCTCTCAAGCCTGGATTAATGTTTTTTGTTTGGAAGCCTTGCTAAGAAGCTCAGGTTTACATCTCAGTAGGTTTGCTAATAGTACAGGACATTCCCCTGGATTTGTGATTTCAATGCAGAGTTTTCTTTAGAGAGTGAGGAATTTTTTGTTAGAACCAGCCAGTCTAGAGAACTGAACTGTACCTAAAAATAGAAGAGATCGCTTTTTTAATGTGTTAAAAATAGAAGTGTGTAGAAAGGGTCATGTATAGCCCGATTTTTGCAAGACAGAGGTGCTCTGAATGGAAATATTAGATATCAGCCATCTAGCTGAGAAACGTCACATTTATAGTTCCATGAGCTGCTGGTGGTGAAGCATGAATAATTATAGAGTAAGCCTGCATGGTCTGAAAATTGAATGATACCATGCTGAAATGCACACACTTTTCCAGGGAAAAAATGAGACTTTTGGTCTTGTGAAGCATAAACACATCCAGCACTTCAAAGCTGGGGAGGTGCAGTGGGATGGAAGAAGTTAAATCCTCCCATGTTACCACTGAGCTTGTCTAATTCTCCTGTTGGTGGAACCTACCTTGGCCCTTGCTCCAAGCACTGTGGAAAGGTGGATTCCTTCCAGTTCTGCTGAAAGAAAAAAAAAAATCTCTATTTTTCCCCTACAGAATCCCTCAGTGTCCACCCACCACAGGTAATAGTGAGGAGAAAGGCACCCAGAGAGGCTTTCAAAGGCAATCAAATCTCACACTGATTTAGAAAGTCCCAACTAAGCCTTGTCTTTTTGGGTGACCCACTGAGAATCCTATAGAGACTGGTCAATTTTTTTTTGCTATGTTAAATCATGGTCATGTTAATCTGCCTTTGAGATAGTCAAAACTGTTAAAGTAATTTGTATAAAAAGTTACCAATAACTGGAATTAGAATTTGGCATCTATATCTGTTAAAAGGGAAAAAAAATCTCAGCGTTGAGGACTATATGTCATTTGAAATCTGCATCATTCCTAGATCTGTTAAATGGTAATGGATTATTCCAGACAAAAAACAAAACCTCACCTTTGTTTTAAATGGGTATTTGCACCAACTGACTGCCCCATGAAGCTTCAAGGTAGATTTCACAGGACTTGACTCAGATGGCACAAAACGCTGTAATGTGCCACTCCAACTCATCTGAGTAACTGCTTATTTTATATTTTCCCCCCCGAACATTACAAATGGTTCACCAAATTCTTAAGATACATTAGCCATCACCTCCCCACCTCCCACCACCACATAAATCCCACCCTGGAGAGCCAGCTGTGTCTCAACAATGCCAGGTCAAGCATTCATGACATTTTACAAGTCAGCGCCATGTGTGTCAAATTCAGTCCTCGATTACCTCCACTGTAGACACACTCATATTTCCATCAAAGGATCTGATACCCCTTGATTTGATGGCTGGGTCATTAAGTTTTTATTGCCATGTACAAGTCCTTTCAGCTACAGTGATGTGAAGCAGCCACAGCTCAGTTCAGTCCTTTCTGAGACCAGGAAAAGAAAGTGGCCAAAGGCAGCTTGGTGCCAGGGGTCTTGTGGAGCTCAGCATGCTGCTCGACCTCCTGGTCCACAAGGACTGAGATGCAGAGAAGAGCTCCCTTCCAAGAGAGAGCAGGAAAGGAGCTTAGAAAACCCCCCTGGGATTTAGAAAACAGGGAATGCCTTATGTCTGGTTGGAGTCTTTTCCCCTTGCAAGGCTATTCCCTGTAGAGGTAAAAGGAGGGATGTATGTACAGATGGATGTACAAACAAAGAAAATAGACTTGGATGGAAAATATAGCCAAATGTAGCATTTTTTTCATATGTTCATCAATTATTCAGAGGAAAGATTTTGACTAGGACCTCTAGGGACTCTGAGGTGTAAGCACAGGTCCCAGGAGCTGGGCAGAACAGCTGTGGATGGATTTGCTGAAGCAGGAGGTCCCATCGCTTGGGTTACTACTCCCATAACTAAATGTGAGTTGTTTTAGCAGTCATGCCAAAATGCTTATCTGAACAAGTGCTTGTAGCATCCATGCTATGTGCAGCTAAAGTCCTCTTGCAATTTTGAAGTCAAATGTAAAACTCATGTTGACTTCCAGGTAAAAAAAAATAGTTTATTACCCCCTTTATGCATAGATGTACCATATTTTTATAGTCTCGTATATGCTCCAAAAGAAAAGCTGAGGTTTTAAATAACTTTAGATACATTTGGGAGTGGATTTGGTTGATGACCTTTCTTTTGAAATGGCAGTGGTGCACTGAACAGAGAAAATAAAACTAAACTACACTTTCATGAAGGAAAGTGGACGCTGAATGAGCAGCAGGTCGTGAGCAGCAGAGAATGAAGCACTGCAAGAGAGGAGATGGGAGCTCTAAGTCCTCTGATAAAATGTGGAAACTTAGAAATGGAACAAGTTTGCCCTGTGCTCTAAACAATCTGTTTGTGCCTGCCACATGTCTAATTGATTGTAAGCAAACCAGCCATGCCAAACTCAAAGCTGCTTCGCACACACGGCCACATCAGAGGAGCTGCAGACCATGAGAAGACCAGAGCTGATTTAGTCATCAATTATGGATGGGAAACTTCCTCAGTATAAATAAGCTTGCTGGTTCACCACTGTACACAGAAACCTCTGAATAAAATAATTGATTGGACAGTCAACTCTTGCAGCTTGTGTCAAGGACATATTTTCTGTTTGAGTACATAGAGCTTGCATGTGACCATGAACACACTTGGTGAAACTCCCAAACCTCAACCAAACTGAAACCAGACTTTAATCTACTGATAGACTCCTCTTTCTTGAGTGGCTCTAGTCCAGGAAAGCACTTCCCCTGGGGTCCCTCCCTTCCCTGGATTCAGTCTCCTGCCATATTTACAACCCTGGATGTTCCACTTAATCCCTTCAGGGCTTTTCATGAAGGGCAAAACTGGAGTTCTCTCTTAAATGTAACTATTCCACTCCTTTGTCCAACTTCAGGGCATAACCACACACATGTGTGCACAAATACATGGCTTTGAAGGTGACCTATTTTCCAGCTGCAAAACACTGTCTTTATCAGAGGGTTTTGCCAGCTAAGGAAGGATATGAACTAGAGGTGCAAAGGGAACTGCTGTGTCTGCATTATTTAGTGGCTCAGAATGCCAGGTCCACAGGTGTTCAAACTACCCAGGAACCTTTTGGCCCACTGTTATGGAAAATATGATTTTAGAGATTGAAATCAGCCAGCAATGGTGCTTAACCAACTAGCTACTGCAGGACAAAGCAAAACCTCAAGGTTTTCTTTGAGTTTCTTTTAATAGTTTTTGTTATGTTTTTCTCCCCAGCACCTGCAATACTGCTTCCCTGACATCCTTGGGAACTGCTGGCAGTGGAGGAATTCATTAGCTAGAAAATTCCCAAAGTATCTCTAGGAATTATTCAGAGTGGCAATATTTCAGACACAGAAGAACTTGCAGGAGAGAAAGGGACTAAAAATCAGATTCTGAGTGTCCATTCTGTATGGAGACATGTCTATAACATTCATATATACATGAATATAACACAACACAAAACATTTTATCTGCAGCTTTGCCAGGGCAGCCCCAGGCCAGTGTTGCTGGGGAAGGTGGGCAGGAGAAAACAGGCACAAGGTCTTGTTCCTTTCCCATCTCCCTCTTGAAAACCATGGGTTGGATTGCTGGAACAGCAGCATCTGCTCAGAGTATATTTTCCACCATTTTTCCATGCTGGACTGGGCATAGAGGGAGAGTGTGGGAATCCAGGGCTTCCCTCTGGCTGCCCTGGCAGGTCTGGGACCCTGACAGGGGTCAGGAACCCCCTGGACAGAGCCCCAAGAGACACTGGCTGTGATCTCTGTCCATGGAAAAGAGTTTTCAATCTTACAGAATCAATTACCAGCTCTGAGTGTTTGATATAAGTAATAATTAAGTGTGGCACGGGTGCAAAAGTAAAATTTTAGGATTCTAGATTAGGGGTCCAAAGGGGACAAGATGGAGGAAACTGGGTGTGCCTTGTCCTTTTTCTCCTTCTTCATGCCCTCCATGCTTCACTGTGGTGTTGGCATTTTTCTGTTGGTTCAGGCTGGGGACACACTGTCCAACGTAGGTGACAGATATTGGCACGTTCTTGTAAATCCAGCCCAGGGAGTTTCTGGTATTTAATGTTTGTAACATCCCACTGAGGGCAGAGCCCCACACGCTGCCCTGCAGGACAGAGCTGGGCAGGGCAGCAGAACATGTGAGAGATAAACAGAATAAACAACCTTGGAACCAGCACAGATTAATTATGGCTTCTGCTTTGGCAGTGGGGCAGAAAGACAGAGACTTTCTACAATCTCAGAATCATCAATACCTCAGATTCTGACAGGAGAGCAGAATTCTTCTCCAGCAGAGACTGAAGCCCACAAAGCACACATCAAGATCACATCTGCAGCTGGGTGGCCAGAGAGCCTGCAAGCACAAAGCAGAATTTCTCACCTAAACGTTTGGGACCTGTCTGACCTGCCTGGGAGGTACCAGGACTGTTCAAAGCAAACACACTGTCTGCCCTCATCATTGCTTCCCACCAGCTAAAAATAAAGAAGTATCTCTCCTGAGTTAGATGTCAGAGCCACCATGAAAATCTGCACCTCTTTCTGCCCTTACAAGTCTGTTATTATCAAGCAGAAAGAGAAATATTATTGTAAATATCTTTTTGGTTATGCAGAGGCATCTAAAAAAATCTCTTCTCACTCTCTGTTCCTTCAGTTCCAACACACTGCTAAATATACACCAGAAGTAGAGGACAAAAGTACATAAAATTGCCTCACTGATTGAATTCTATATCCTATTTCCAAAGTATTTTGGGACCAGATTGATAATAAAATACAAATACCTGAAGTTGCAGTTAAGACAATTCACAAATATTCAGACATTGTCAAGTCTTATAATTCACTGATTTAAAAAGACTTCAGGCTCCTCAATCACCATGAAGAATTGCAAGTCTATTTCTGCATTACTTAGACATTGGAAAATGCAACCATATATTTTTGCCCACAGATCCCACTTTGCAAAAGCCAAGTTATTTTCTTTCCTCTAAATATATATTTATAAATACATATGCACACACTGTAGTTCTGCATTAATTGGTATTTGCAATGTAAGCATTGGCCTTTCCTTCCTTTTCCTCAGTGAAAATAAACATGATCAGGGACTGCCAGTATTTAATGATGAAAATGTACCGTGTCTTTACAGTCTTAATGTCATTGAAAAGAACTTGAAGATAGGTTTACAACAAAAATAATTTTTAAAGGTTTTCATAACAAATTCAGGGGGGGGAGAAAAAGCACTGTATTTAGTTTTTCTTTCCTTAGCATTTTTATTTTGTCTGAGGAGAAAAATGAATAAACAAAGATGTTTTAAAATGACCTGTGAGGGGCAAAATAAACGCATAGAGATTTTATCCAGCACTTCTAAGGACCTTGGAAGTGCTACAACTACACTGTAGTCTCTTTGTTACAGCTCTGTATACATTTATACAAAAGAAAGATGAAAGGGGGGAGAGAGTGGTTGATAGGGGTTGTGAGAAGTTGCTGGAATTAGATGGCAAGGGGTCAGATTACAGACAATGTAAGCTAAAATGCATCAAAGGATATGAAGCAAAGGACTAGATCAAAGTCTAAGAAGCCAAGTACAAGAATAAAGGAGTGATAATTGTAGGCAGTGAGAGAAAGCACTGGAATAGAAATGTGATAATGGTGTGACCTCATGACTCAGTATCCCTTTTTTCCCCCCAAGTCACCAGTTTCCCTGCACAAGGCACAGGGGCTGGAGAGGGCAGGAGTGTGTGTGGCAGGAGGGAGCAGCAGGGGTAGAAGGGAGAGGAGTTCTGGGGTTGATAACCTTCCTGGGCAAAAAGGAAAAATTCACTTTGTGATTTGCAGTGTGGTTCATTGATAGACTTTTCACAGGACCACAGGGCTGTCCTCACAGGCACTGGTGTGAAATGGGGAGCCTGGAAGGCTGAAAAGCTGGAGGTCAGATCCTGCTTTCCTGCAGGCCAGCAGAACATAGCAAACACCAGTGGGAGTGGGTCTTTTTTAAAATCACAATGGGGCCTTATTTTAGAGAAATTATTGGGTACTGATTCCTCTCTGCACTGTGGCTGAGACATGTGTGGGACAGCTACCATCATCCAAAGAGCTCCTACAGCTCCTTCAGCTGTAGGCTGGTTCTGAAGATGACTTTGCATTAGACATCCACTTGTCCAGGAACCAAATGCATTTTATTGCCTTTCACATCTAACAAGGTCCCTCGGTCCTCACCCTTGCTGAGCACAGAGTACAATCCCTGTACATTAAAGGAGTTTGGGGTTTTCTCACCCTGGTTTCCTGGTCTGATGATGCAGAATTTCCTCTGGCCTCACCATGCCCCAGTAAGAACCAGTGACATCACTTCAGGTGACTGCATCAGTCAAGGCTGGGGCTTGTTCTGTGATCCCTGACATAGGTTTTAATTTGGGACAGGGCAATGACCCCATCATCCCTCATGACCAGCCCAAACTGCTGCTTCCTGGTGTCTTTGAAGGTTGAGGCCAAGGCTGCACAGGGTGAAAGCTCTTCTTGTGAACTTTGCTGCACTTTGCTCCGTGGTTGATCTTTGGGAGCAGATGACAAATGGGGACAGTCATCACATGCAATTCTCCTTCTTCTGACTACAGAGCTGAACTGGTGCCAAGATCCTCCCCTGCTCCAGCAGCTTCGGAAAATCAAACTGTTGATACCAGAGAAGAGCAGCTTCTCTGTTGCCTCCTCGGCAATGCAGACACCTATTTCTGTTTTATCTGGAGTGCAAAGGAAGCACCACCGTCTTGCCTCCCTCCAGCCTTTTTTCCTTGTAGGCTGCCTTCCTTTCTCCAGTGAAGGCTCAAGACATCCATTCTCTCTTAAGTGGATGAACAAATCAAAGTAAACCACTTACTGGTCTCTCAGACATCCATTTGCTGCCCGAGATGTGTGCACCATTTATCTCTTTGCCTCCTTCCCTGCTCAGAGCCATTTGGTCATGTGTTTATTTATTTTTCAGATTTAGTAGCTGAGCTCCATCTCTGGACAATGTTATAAGGTGGAGGAATCTATCAGAGAGTCCTGGAATAGATTCTGAAGAAGCAGAAAATCAGGTTCATGTTCAAGTATTTCTTCCTCAAAAATTAAGCTGTTGAGACATAAAAGTGGCAAAAAGGCAGACAACTCTTTCTCTGCCTCACTGCTCTGTGTCTGTGCCAGTGCAGACTCTTTATCCCATCTCTGTGTATCTTTGCTTTGCTGATGAATGCTCAGGTAACTCCAGCTCTTCATTGAAATGTCTGCATCAGTCATATGGACATGCTTAACTAGAATCACTCTGGAATCTGTTGAACTTTAGTTTATACCTGAGTGAAAGAGCCTGCCAGACCCTCCAGACAAACATCTATACACAAAAAATCTTTGGCTGGACTCTTGAGACACTGAAGGCCATTAGTGTGTTGATTGACCTGAGTCAGAAATGTCCTTTCTTTCCGAAGTAATTTTATTTCTCTGTGTGTTTCATTTCTTGCATTTTCAGCTTTAATATAATACAAACATTGAGAGACACATCAATGAAATGTTTCTTTTCAGCTCAGATGCCCACCAGTATTTCCAAAGTTTATAGGCCCTGCACATTATCCTCAGGAATTGGGCTGTCAGAATTACTGGAGGGAAAACTCAGGAATTTTGAGGACAAGGGAGGGGGTGGGAGAACAGATAGGAGTGTGATAGTTTGAGATGTGACATTTTTGTCACAAAGCACACGAGGAATACGAGATAGGAGAGTGGGAATTCTCAGTGCTGCATCTTCTCTGGCTCCCTCCAGGCTTTGTTGTTCAGCTGGCAGCGGATGCTCCTGGACAGCAGGTTGTATTTGGAGCCTGGCTTTGCCACTGCCTGACCCCAGCACACCTGTGGGGCAGCAGCAGCAGGTTTTTAGCCAGAACTGCAGTGGCTGGAGCTGCTGAGTAGTGCTGTGGCTCGATGCCAAGCTCCCTTGCAGATATGCTGACGCTGACACGGACCAGAGGGATCTGTGAAGTGTGGCTATGTGCTGCTCTCTGCCCTCACTAAACCCTGCTGCCCTATGCTGATAAAACAGCTCAGGAAACACTGCCAGGACTGATCATGGTTCAGCTGTGCCAGGCCTGGTACAACTGATGTGAGTCATGGAAGATAAAGAGAGTAAACATGTAGGAACTTTTGCCTTGAAGCTTTCTTAATGCTGTCAGCTGCTCAAAATGACTACAGAAGCTGCAACCACGAGGTCTAAAATGTCTTCTAAGGCTTGAAAGGGACACTGGCCACTGCTCCACCCATTCTTGGGTAGCCACATTGACATCATCAATACCCAGATGTGCTCAAAAATCATCCCAGTGTGACTAAACCAACTATGGTCCCACTCTGAAGCCTTGGGGACATGCAAGACTCTGGAGGAGGCCACACAGAGATTAGAAGGAAGTGTGACAATGATCTGGAAATTGTCTTGTATGTCAAGGAAGGACCAGCCAGCAGGAAGAACAGAGTAAAACCCATTTACGTGATTTTTGATTTAGGTCAATTCATGACCTGTGAATTCTGACCCTTACAGATGTGTTAGAAACACAAAACTTTGTTCCCAATGATCATCATAAACCATTATTTTGATGCTGTGTATGTGACCCAAAGGGTGTAGAAGGATTAAGGAATTGTGGTTCAAAGATATTTAAAGAACTCTGAAGGTATGCACAAGAAGCTTGTCTGAAAGGCTCCATTCTATTGGGCAACAATTTGTTTTTAGACACCTGTAGAGGTCCTGCACCCAAAACTGATGTCATACAGTGTCTTGTGGTTGTCTGCTCCGGAAAAGTGGGTAAAAGAAACTTCCCTAAAACCAGTTCCTGTTTTTCTTCTCCATTTCCATTCTTCTTAGAATTCTGCAAAACATATGACTTTCATTGACTCATATCATGATGAAACAGCAAATTCAAACACCCATTTCCCAGAGTACTGTCTATTTCACTCACTTGGCTTGTGTGTGACATTATGAATTACACTCCAAAATATCAATAGTTATCAATCCCTGACCCTAGGGGACAGCAGGGACACAGGATGACCCAACAGCCTCTGTGCAACCACCACCTTACACGTGGCCAAGGAACATGTCACACAGAAGCACTGACACTCCTCGTTACTCAAAAAGAGAAAGAAACAAAGCTCACCACCCTAAGAGTGGGGTCAAGAGGACAAGGAAGCTTTATGGTTTTGACACAAGAGCCATGGGCTTTCCAAAGAAGCAGAAGGGAAAGGTTCCTCTGACCCAAACCAGCCTGCCCAGTTTCCTCAGCCAGGAAGTCCCCATATGTTG